TTTAACCTACAAGTCCTTGTTTGCCTCTTTTTGACAGAGCCGTGCCAGAGAGTAAAGAACTCGCGGGCCTCAAGTTTAAGCAAGCCGCTTGACGTTCAAGTGTATTTGACCTGAATTGTTTTATTTCCTGCTCCTTTATGTTCCTGACACCTGGCCCTCTTTATAACCAGCGGACATCCTTTGTGACCCCCCCGTGTGCCAAGTGGGCATGCCCAGACTGCAGTGGGTTTCTTATTTAGGGCGGAGCTGTGGCTCTGTGGTTCAGGATCTGCGCCTGTGGCTGGGAGGTTGCCGGTTCAAATCCGCAGCCAGCAGAGGAATCCTACTCCATTGGGCCCCTGAGCCAGGCCCTTCACCCCAGCTGCTCCAGGGGCGCCGTATAAATGCCCGACCCTGCGCTCTGACCCCCAGTTTCTCTCTCCCTGTCTGTGTGTCTTATGGAGAGCAAGCTGGGGTCTGCGAAAAGACACATTCCTCATGCAAGAAATTGTAAAGGGTTAATAAAGTGATGTTATTATTAGTGATGTTATTATTATTATTGTTGTTTTGGCCAGTGAGTGGATTTTGCTGTGATCAGCCTTGCGCTGCTGGGATGGGCCCAACAGGTTGAGGAGAATTGCTGGGGTTGGAGGAGACCACCCCTGTGGGAACTTTAGGGGGGGGGGGAGGGGGAGCCCAAATACTAAGATGAACACGTGAGGAACGTTCAAACGCCACACAAAAGGTGCTGCTCTCCAGACTGGAAATTGCTGGGGGTTGGAGGAGACCACCCCTGTGGGAACTGTGTGTTTGTGTGTTTGTGTGTGTGTGTGTGTGTGGGGGGGATCCCAAATGCTAACATGAACATGTGAGGAACGTGCAAACTCCACACAGAAGGTGCTGCTCGCCAGACTGGAAATCAGGCCCTAGTTCTCTGACTGCACCAGCGTTTGTGGAATGCAGTGTTTAAGAAGGGGAACCTTTCAGCCTATCACGGAGGGAAAAAAAAATACTGCCTTTAAATGAGATCACATTGCATTTAACTGCAATAATCCTTGCATGAACACAGTACATATGCAGGAATATTGTCCCATGCAAAGTACCATTAACAACAGAAGAACAGCTTCACACTTCTCTCCGTGCCAGTGAATTAGTCTAAAGGAGCACGTGTCTTTTGTCTACATGAAGTACAGCACCCTATCACTGAGCATGCCTGGGGTAAACGTGTTACATTTTCACCATTCTTGTGAAAACCAGAAATGCCACAACTTCACAAACGAATCTTTCTCGACGCGAAACTGCAGGAACGTGGTAATAGATCGCTGACTTTTTTTACGTGTGGAACAGAAAACGTTTACGATGATCTGTCAGACTCTTTGGGTTTTACCGTTACTGTTAGTCGATCGTGGAATATTGCAGCATTAAAAAAAAAACCCACACACGCTTGCAGGCTATTCATACATCTGAATCTGGAATTACGCAGCAAACGGCAGGAAACGCGCCGTGAAGGGGGAAGAATCAGATCGATTGTGTGTCGGTTTGCAGAGACATGAATGTAATCAAATAAAGGCAATCGAAACAAAACCCCAAAATACACAAAACCAGGACAGCACAGCAGCTGCTGAGGTAGCCAACAGAGTCGTGCATTTGTGACGAGAGTCCTGTTGCTGCCCGTGTGTAACCAGCAGTATCCTTGTCATTATCTTGTTTGGATGTAATATTATCTCGTTAAATGGCGCTAACGGGCTTCCGTAGAGCAAAGAGAGATCACAGGCATATATTAATTAATTGCATTGATATAGATCTTTTCATCCTAGAGTGCATCACCTACAGGAGAAGTCCCGCCTGGATGACAAAGAGCTGCCCTATGTTCTAAACGAATATGAACCGCGAACACTTCATTCTCAAACTGATAATGCAATTTTCGAATTGTACTTCTATAAAATAAATATTCTGTACCAGTAGATCAGGGGGAAGAAACTTGGTAGATTTAAGGCAGGGCACAATGGGCTAACAGCCCTTTAACAAACAGCGATGGGATTTTTATTGACAGCTGTGTCCTGGGTTTCAGATCTCGTCTGAAGGACAGGTCACTACGTCAAGTCACCATACTGGGGTACTGGATTGGAAATTGTGGTAGAGCACCCCCCCTGCTGGTCCACCAACACCACGGACAGCAACCAGGAGCAGCCTAGCTGTGCTCCTGAGATCTGATGAGCTCAGACTACACGGTGAAAATCCTGCTCTATCTCTGTAAGGGACGTGTTGTGATGGGTGGCGCAGTGGTGGGCAGTCTGGGTGGAGTTTGCACGTTCTCCCATGTTTGCATAGGTTTCCTCCAGGTGCTCCGGTTTCCTCCCGTAGTCCACACACATGCCCGGCGGGTTAATTCTGGGGAAAAAGGGGGATTCTGGGAAAATTGGCCCTGGTGTGAGTGTGTGTGTCCTGCGATGGACTAGAAAATGGCTGGGATGTGATGTGTTTGAACAGTCTCACATCAAAGGGCTGCCTCTCCACGATCCCTCAGGACCCTCTCCTCCAGCAGCTAATGAGAAAGTTCAGAACATGCCACCGGCTCCGCAGGCCTCCTGCATACAGATGCGTGCAGAGGACAAATACCCACAAGGCTGTGCCCACAGCTCCGGGTCTCTCTCAAGCATGTGTTTTAAACCGGGAGAAAAAGGCCCCGTTTCCTTTATGCTGGGTGACATTAATACCGAGGTCACGGTCCCAGCTAACATCCCAGACAACATCCGGGCTGTAGTCGCCCCGGGACCCTGTGATCTGAGCAAACCCCTGACCGAGCTACCCAGGAGCCCCGTTATCCCAGAGGAAGGTCAGAAGGTGGGCAGGAACACAAGTGGAGGCTGTTGTTGGGGGTAGACTGCTGAGGTGGCGGCCCTACGTCTCTGGCAGTAACGTGCACTCTGGGTGTGTGACATGCAACTATGAAGGGTTTCATGTGTGCCCAGCAGGGGGAAAACTGCTTGGAGTTTCCTACCGGAAGTGCGTTTGGGGTGTCTGCCCTTTTCTCTCCAGCAGTGTTAAATCCCTGGAGAGTGATTGCGTCTAGTAAGAGCTCTCCAAATTCATTATAAAGAGGATCGAAGTACTGGAGCATTTAAAAAAAAGGCCACCTACCTTTTAAATTATTATTAATAATAATAATATTACAGTACCACCTTGGTTTAAGTGGCTAAATGAGAGGAGGGAGTGCTGTTCGTTCATGACAGGCATTGCAAAGGATATGCCACCATTCAAGAACACTGTCACTTAAAGTACTAGAGAAATACCGAATACAGAATAATAGATCAGTCAGTAGCGACAGATCAACATTAATCCACAGTCAACAGTGCAGTACCATAATAAGACACAGTAAAGAATAATATGTAGTGTGAATTCGCTGTTCAAATCAACATTAAAGAATACAGTGCAGTACTGTAATAAGGCAATGTCGCACAATAAGGAAAAACACGCAATAAAGTGCAATAGCTCCGGTTCTACTAAAGAAATAACGCGCTGCAGAACAATCAAGCACACAGCTGAACTCCTCTACCCCGGCAGATCTCGGCAACGTTACCGACGTACGTCGAAGATGACTGAAAACTCGAGAGCTTTTCTTTGCTCTGTTTTCCACGAGAGAACGTTCGTTCGCACTGTCCTCTTCTCACACACACACACAAGTGAACGTGTGCGTGTGCGACACCCCCCCTCCCTCCCTCCCAGAGGAGGTGATATGCATAATGGCCACCCAGGACCAGCAGAAGAAACCCCTTCCTTCAATACCCGGGAGCACTGTGGAGGTTACAATTCAGAGAAAGCCATTCAATCCCCATTTTTCTGCTTTTCAATTAGGGACCTTCTTGCAAAAATAAGGATCAAGAAACAAGAAAGCTTCTTGAGAGAACTCTGAGCTACCACTTAAACTGCTACTGCCATTTCTATGTCTACTGCTGTTATTATAACAACACAATACATTCGCAGACATGTGGTTATTAGCAGTGCGATGGAAGGGAAAAGTTCTATGGAAATGGCCCTGGGACCTCTGGCTGTGTCTCCCATCACGGGTGTGATCCCTGGCTCAGCACCTGGAGTGGGCAAAACCTGCCTCAAGTCCCCTTTCTGTCTCTCTCCAAGGAAATATACCGTACCGTACAAACTCTGAGGTTAATGCTTCACGATCGTTTCGTTACTGAAAGCCTCTGGAGGGCAGCTTTGAGGTCACCTCGACCTGATTCTTTAAAAATCTGCCAGAACCCAAACCCTTTAACATGTTTCCTCTCCCTTTGTAGATGTTACACTAAAACATAAAACGAGGGATTTGATTAAAATCAAATATGGTTGAGCATTGAGATTGAGGGATTTTAGGAGACTCCCAGATTCATGTCGTCACTGTAACATTCACTATCTGTACTAACGAACCAAGCAGCATTTTATTGTGTTTTTAATGCCTCTAGAACATACTATGGAATAGTTCGGGTGGGGAGCTGCGTCAGCATGCTTAGTCTGCAAAGGAACAAGTAATAGGTTTATTCCATGCTGAAAAGAGAAGAGACAGCTGAAACGTTGTGTTTTCTCTCTTCTCTTTTTAGCAGGGAATAAACCTATTTACTTGTTCCTTTGCATATTATGGAACTGAATTTTAAAGGGCTTTTGCCATTTCACAACACTCGGGGGCGAAACAGTTCAAAGACTATTAACGTCACTACCTATATAATGTCCATAAAAAAAGGAGCCACAGGTGTTTCTCCCTTATGAGGGATCATCGCTGTAAGATTGCAAAGAGAGCAGAGAAACGGACCCATGAATCTGCCTTGACAAACAGAGGGATCTGGCTAAGCGGCGCCAGGGGGCGGAGCAAACACAGTTCGGGGGGCGTGATCACCAACTAGGCGGGGCTTGCTTGACCAATCGCAGCTGCATGTGGAAAGGGGCGTGGCATGGGGGCAGTGGCATGTCCTGCAGGGGGAGTGGGGAGGGCGGGGCTTCAAGGTTCCACCGAATGACCAGAATGGACTCACCAGTGCCCTGCTCACACTCCTCGAGGTCTTCGTCATCACTGGGACACTCTGCCGACGCGACCAGCAGGTCATCCGTGTTCTGGAATGCGAAGGGAGGGGAGCACTCAATCAGAAAGCCCCCCCAAAAATCAAAAACAACCCACAAACAGACTTCAGAACCGCCCGGTT